GTGAGCCACCGCCCCAGGCCTCTTTACTTTCTTTAAACCCAGTTCTACAGGGGTGTAGGGAAACCTATTTTCAGGCACCACTGGGGTCTGGAGAGGGGAGGTCTCCTTCTCTAAGGCCATGCAAAACTCCAGGAGGGCTTTTGGTACCCATTGAAGTAAGGGCCATTTATTTTTCATCCCAGCAACCTTGCCACTGATACCCTCATTATCAAATGGTTCTTCTAGGGAACAGGTTCTGCTGTTGCCAATGACAAGCCTGGGCAGCAGAATCTGCAGAAGGTTCCCGAGGTCCAGTAGGTGCAACCCAAGAGCTTGCTGTCTGTTTGGGTGCTGCAGGGACTAAGGCTTGAGTCCTTGAGGCTCATAAGACCACCATCCCACTCCTCCTCCCAATCTGGTGGCGGGGGAGTCATTTCTCCCTCCAACTGCTGTGAAAGCCTCCACCCCCCCAGCTCTGGCTCCTCCTCCTCCAGGACATCTGGGGTAGATCATGGATATATTGAGATCAGGCTTTCTCAAAAGACAAGAAGAAAGGCTGTACTTCTAAGAGCTGTTGCCAGGAGTCCAGCCAACACTCCTGAAGGTAGGAAGCCCGAAGGGACTCGTTGCTAACTCCAAACAGAGGAGATTGGGGTGAAAAGGAACACAAGGAACATCAAACACGGATTAGGATCTCACTAAACACCCTCCCACACAGCTCTACATTTACCCACCACAAAACCACATCAGCAAATCAGCTAAGAGCATGCTATTATTTCAGTGTTTTCACTGCATTTAGATTCCATCTACCCATGGAAGTGTGCAGGAGGATGGAGTCACCAAACGGGACGATCCAGGCTAAGAAACAGCACCAGCTCTAACACAAGCAACAGCAACAAACACCATGTGCCAGGCATTTTTCTAGGTGTTGAATACATATTTCCTCTTTAATCCTCTCAGCATCCTTAGGTGAGGGCTGTGGGTCCAAATGCCTTATTTAAAAATTTTGGGTGGCTGCACACTGTGGCTCACACCTGTAATCCCAGCATTTTGGGAGGCCAAGGCGGGTGGATCACCTGAGGTCAGGAGTTCAAGACCAGGCTGGTCAATATGGCGAAACCTCATCAATACTAAAAATGCAAAAATTAGCTGGGTGTGGTGGCACATGCCTGTAATCCCAGCCACTCTGGAGGCTGAGGCAGGAGAATCGCTTGAAACCAGGAGGTGGAGGTTGCAGTGAGCTGAAATTATGCCACTTCACTCCAGCCTGGGCAACAGAGCAAGACTCTACCTCAAAAAATAAAATAAAACCTTTGGGGCAAGCCCTGCTTTAGAGTCCAGAATTTTGGGGATTTTCAAAAGGCTATTCAATGCATGGGATTTATATCACATAACACCCTGACAGGGTCTGACGCAGTTCTCCTATCGACTAATCGATTTTCCTTCACAAAACAAATCTAAAAATCACATCAAGGGATCTAAATAAAGACTGTAAATAGTTCTCCATCAGTTGGGTCAGGTCAGGAAAAAAGGTTTGGTCCTTAGAACTTTCTGGATTTGGGAGCGTACTATACTCCCCATTTTACAGATAAAGGGAATGAGGAAGGGTAAGATGAAGTAACTTGGTCAAGGTCCTATAGCTAAGAAGTGGCTGGGGGGAAGTGTGTGTGCATGGATGTGTGCAGTGCCTCAGGGCACCCCCCACCCCCGCACCCCACCACTGGGAGCAAGGGTTCAGGAGAAAACAACTTTGACTGCTTTCTCTACCAGAAACTCACCTTGAGCCTCCCACACCAAAGTCATGGGCAGCTTGCGGGTGACCTCCTTCCCTTGGCTCATAGTTTCACTGATGCTCATTTTAATTCACTTTCATAGGGTTGTTTTGTTCTCGTTTTGTTTTTGTTCGAGACAAAGTCTCCCTCTCGCCCAAGCTGGAGTGCAGTGGTACAATCACAGCTCATTGCAGCCTCTCCCTCCTGGGCTCAAGCAATCCTCCTGCCTTGACACCCAAAGTGCTGGGATTACGGGTGTGAGCCACTGTGCCCCACCTATAGGGTTTTAAATAGTAAAAGGAGCCTAGTGAAGTACGACTTACCCCCAGGAACCCCTTACAGGTCCCAGAGGGACTCTCTTCCGCCGATCCCAGGGTACAGCTGTGACGCCATCTTTTCTGCCTGGATTATCCCAGTAGTTAAACAAAAATTAGAGAACGTCATTCCATTTCTCTCTGTATATATTTTTCCAAGCCCTTTTCACGAATGATCAGTTATTTCCTGCACTGAATTTTTTTTTTTTTTTTTTGAGACAGAGTCTCACTCTGTCACCCAGGCTGGAGTGCAGTGGCACTATCTCGGCTTACTGCAAGCTCTGCCTCCCTGGCAAGCGATTCTTCTGCCTCAGCCTCCCGAGTAGCTGGGACTACAGGAGAGCACCATCATGCCTGGCTAATTTTTGTATTTTTAGTAGAGACAGGCTTTCACCATATTGGCCAGGCTGGTCTCAAACTCCTGACCTCGTGATCTGCCTGCCTCGGTCTCCCAAAGTGCTGGGATTACAGGCGTGAGCCACCGCGCCTGGCCCTCCTCCACTGATTTAAAAAAAAAAATTTTTTTTTTAAATTCTCTTTCTCCCCACTCCCACCCCCAGGCTCACTCCTTATAAAGCAGCCTCTAGCCTCATCTGCCCCTCCTACACCACACCAACTCGAGGGCCCGGAATTGGGTCTGGGGCAGTCCCTGACTTGCTTGCTTCCCTGCCTTGCTCTTGCGGTTAGCCTCAGGAGCAGGGTTGAGGGTCAGGCTTGGTCAGGCAGCGGGAGGTCCAGACAGTGAAGCGGAATCCTTCGGAGATACCAGTAGAGGGCGTATCTGCCTTTTTCTATTTCAGATACAGTTTTTTTGCTTTTGTTTTTCTCTCTCTCTCTCCTTTGCGTTTCCTTCCTGCCAGTGAGCAGCGTGGATGCGCAACCACGTGCTCTTATTCTCACTGATTTGGGCGGTGCCAGCGCCTCCATTTGTAAATCTAGTTCTTCCCGGATTTCATGCCCTTCTTGGGCTTAGGCACGAACTTGCCCCCAGGCTTCTCCCAGGCCACCTGGGTCCCCGTCCTCATTTCTGTTTATTCCTCCTGCACGAGGGTCCCGGGGCCGGCAGCACCGCCTGGCCCAGGCCTCGACCTCGCGATCGGACGCTGCGCGTGTGGGTGACCGCGTCCCTGAGGCGCTGCCCGGGTGCTCGGGATGCACACAGGGCGGCTCTCCCTCCTACCTTGTCATCCTACTGTCTAATCCGGGGGCAGCTTCCCTCCTCCACACCAGCGAGGCTGCTTCCCAGATGCAATCCCCGCGCACCCGTGAATCCCGGCGCCGGACACCTGGAGCGCCCGGAGGTTAGCGGAGCCTGTTTTCGGTAACAAGAGCCCAAGAAGCATCCTGCAGGCTTTCTGCTTTTTGAGTGTATTTTAAAGCGAAAACGGGTGGAAAGCTATGTATGCTCAGTTAACTATGTCTAGATGTAAGCGTTTTTTAAAAAAACACAGATGGAGGCCTCCCTCCGAGGATGCCTGGGATTCTCCTCTTTCTGTGGGCGGCAGCGACCCCCCTGCGGCTCTAGCCTCCACTAAGGGATCTGCGGGGAAGACACAGGGAAGACCAACTCCGCACACTAGATTTGATTAATGATTTATTTTGATTAACGCCGTCACAGTGACGCCTTGGCGTAGTCCCTGTTCACCCGGGTCCCAGCCTCGACCCCGCACGGACTGCGAGGGTGGGTAGCTGGGGAAGGACGCAATAAAGGGGCGGAGCCTTGGTCGGGCGGGGCCTGGAGTGGGCGGGGCCTGGGGGCGGGGCCCGGGAAATTCCCTGGCGCGGGCAGGGAGCGGCTGGCGGTCAGCTGAGCGGCGCTGGGCGGGGTCGCGAGGCCGCGCATCAGCCCGAGGCTCCCCAAGCCCTGGTGCCCTAGCCACCGCAGCTGGCGCCGCCGCCCCCCGGCAGGTTCCCTGGTCAACGTCCCATCCTGGTCGGCAGCTCTCTCCAGGCGGCACGATGCCAAGGAAGCAGTGACCCTGAGCGAAGCCAAGCCGGGCGGCAGGTGAGCCAGGGCAGGAGGCTGCAGGGGTGGGCGAGGGGGCGGCGGCTCCTTCCCGATGGGCTCTTCTCTGGCCTGAAAACGGTTCCCGCCGCCCTGCCCCGCGGCCCGGAGCCTGTCGGGGTGAGGGTGGCGAGGGATGGGGCGGCCCTCCCGCGAGACTGCTGCCCTGGGAGGATCCCCAGGCCCCGGCGGGTCCTGACCTGGTGGGAAAGGGTGGGTAGTGAACAGAGGGTGGGTCCAAGAAGCGTCCAGGGCCGGCCTGGGGGCCACAGGTAACCCCTCTGCAGGTCACCCGGAGGCTTGGAGGTGACGTCCTCCCGCAGGCTGGGAAGGAATCCGCAGCCAGTTCCTGGCCATAAGGAGGAGGTGGTTACAGACACACCTGTGGGAGACGTGGGACCACTACTTGAGCTGAATGAGGTGCCCAGGGTCCGTACCACAGAGTGAACCCTTTCTAAGGGGGTGGGAATCCACATAGACTACTGTGTCTAGGAGGGTCTGTACACTCTATATAGAGAGAATATTTGATGAGGCCGAGAACCCCAAAGGAATTGTTTTTGCCATCGAAATGTATAAGCTACAGGCAGTAAACATCGCTCAAAGAAAATGAAACCCAGGTTCCGGCCTGGCCTCCACCACCAGGAAAACTGTTGTATGGAAATGTACACCATGGAACTGTTTGTAAGGATGAAATGGAAAATGAAAGCATAGAAAAGTAAGGCAATGTGAGAACCTCAGAAGCCTTTGGAGCTGGTTAGCAAGGTGCAGGCAGTGTGAACAGAAGAACCCACCTTGCTCTTTTGACCCAGGGAGAGAAGAGTTAGCGGGGCCAGGCTGCCTCCCAGGACAGGTGCAGTTTTGGGGCAGGGGCTGGAGAGGTCCCAGGGCAGACGCCAAAGCCAGGGATTGCCCTGGAGTGGACAAGGCAAGTTTAAATGTGACCTTTAGAGAGAGGACGATCATTGATTTAAGTCCTGGCATAACTGATCTGTTTTTCCACTGGGCCAATTTTGGGTGTTCTTTATATATTATGTACAACACTGTAAAAGTAGCAGCTTCTTTTTTATAAATTAACCTTTAGGTTGCATATTATGCTAGGAATATAACTAACCTAACCTCCCCCGCCTCCCGTCTCCGGAAAACCAAACTTTATTCTGGAAGGCAACTGGACACTGTATTATGTCCTGCTGAACTCCCGCCCTTAGGTAGAGGTGTGTAAGTATTCTGGCCATGAAATACACCTTCTGTTTTTTAGAGATTTGGCATATTTGATATATGTTCTTTGGAATTTATGAAATAGAAAACCCAAAGGAAAAGGAAAAATATTAAATTATTTAAAAAAACATATTTCATTTAGAAAGAAAAAATTATTTTAAAAGCTTTGGTTGTTACCACTTTGACATGTGTATGAGGATTATTAGCATCTGTGTTACGAAGTGATACCCAGATGACTTTGCAGTGACAGAAAAAAAGCACTTCTAATTTTTCAAATAAGTTAGAAAAGTGGATTTCGAGAATCTGGAAGTGAATGCCGTGGAACTGTGGAGAAACTCCTAACAACATTAGCATGCTGAGTTTGTCACCTACACAGCAGAAAGCAATTTACAGGTATTACACTTAAAAATACCTCATTATGCTATATTTTCAATTGATTTCAACATTTACTGCAAACCTGCTATGTGCCAGTCTCTAGTAAGAATAACATGGAGAGAAAGTACACGGGCAAACGATAGCAGTAATTTCAGAGTGGGCGGAGGAGGTGGAAATGCAGAGTGTTCTTGGGTGCTCGGGTAGGGAACAGTTCATATGACACAGGACATCATATTTAAGCTGAACATTGATCTGTCCAGTGGAAGTTTGCCAGGACACAAGGGGAGCCAGACATTTCGGGCAGAGGGCAGAAGAGAGGCAAGGACGCAGAAACAGAAGAATGCAGGGAACCGCGAGCTCTTTAACGTGCCTTGGGTATGAGTGTTTTGGTGGCAGGAGGTGACTCTGGTGGGTCAGTTGGGCCTGGGGCCTGAAAGGCCACATTTGTCTTGCTAAGAAGCTGAAAGTCTGTCTTGTACGGGAAGGATGGACTCAGGGGAATGACCTCATATTGCAAAAGAAACCATGAGGGCAAGAGGACTGAAATTGACAGGGCTGAAAGTCAGTCATTTAGGAGGCTGTTAAAATGTATTCAACAGATATTTACTGAGCCCTCCCTTCTATGTGGCAAGTAATGTTCTCAGTCCTGGGGATACAGCATTGGACAAAATAGGCAGAACCCCTGTCCTTTGTGGAGGTCAACGTGGCTGTGGTACAGACAAGATAAGGGCCTGAACTAAGCCTGTGGGGATGGAGAGGAGGCAGTGGATTTTAGAAACACTTAGGAGGGCCAGGCGTGGTGGCTCATGCCTGTAATCCCAGCACTTTGGGAGGCCGAGGTGGGTGAATCACTTGAGATCGGGAGTTCAAGACCAGCCTGGCCAAAGTGGTGAAACCCCATCTCTACTAAAGATACAAAAATTAGCCGGGCATGGTGGCATGCGCCTGTAATCCCAGCTACTTGGGAGGCTGAGGTGGGAGAATCGCTTGAACTAGGGAGGTGGAGGTTGCAGTGAGCTGAGATTGTGCCACGGTAGTCTAGCCTAGGCGACAGAGTGAGACTGAGTCTTAATTTAAAAAAAAAAAAAAGAATTATTTAGGAGGTAGAGGTGATGGCATTTGGTGACCCATTAGACTTGGGGAAAAGGGGACTGGGAAGAATCAAGCCTCACTCCCTTGGGCAGCTAGGTTAAAGCTGCTGCCATTTTCTGTATATTACTAAAATACAAAGTCACAATATCCCTTCTAGTGTGTAATGATGAAGCTGCTTTTACCCATTTAGTAGGATGCATACTCTAAGTTCTTTTTCCAGGGTGGTGAAGGATTTAGTTGATGCAATGTTAGAATCTCGCCCCCCCTTGTGAACCCAGAGTCTTCATAGAATTTGCCAGTAGCCAACTCTTGTCTGTGGTCGAAAATCAAGTTTTCACTGTTTAAAACTCATTTATCCCATGTAGGGATTGAACCTATGAATACTTCGTTAACAAATTTGAAGACTTGGCCATACCAGGGCAAGGGCCTAACCTTATACCTCGTCCAATGTCCACTGTGGGGAAGTCAGTGTAAAGCAGGTACCATTTGACACATAATGACTTTCTGACCACTAGAGCCATCCCACAGTGGAATAGACAGTGCCTGCTAAGGTCACTGCACTTGTGCTGTGTCATTGAAACACTCAAGCCTGCTCTATAGGATCATGTGCCATCGAAACCAGACAAGACATTCTTGCATTGAATATGTTGGTCTGGATCATCTCTAAGGCCAACTCAGGAATCAGATTTATGCTGGTGTTTGCAAGGTCAAGTCATGACTATAATTACTTGATCTCTGGAATTTAAATGTATATACACACACATGCACACACACACACACACACAGAGTCAGGAATTGAGATAGCAGATATGCGAATAAAATCTAGGGGACTTGCTTTTGACCATCCATTTACTAGGCAGTCCTCAGTCTTCCTCATTGGTGGAATCTT